ATCAGGTCTCTTGAAAAAATCGCCAGTCAAATCTCTCACCATCGAAGAGATTATTGATCAAGACCAGCTAAATAGTCCTCAAGTCGTACGTGTTCCCTCTCCCAAGGATCAGCAGCCTCTGACGCAAGAAGAGTTGTCTGTTCTAATTAATTCTGGCTACACCGTCACCCCAATACCTCAGACGACAAAACCGATTCAGCAGAGTTACGTGCCGGAGAATGCTTCCGCAGTATACTACTTGAAAAAACAGCGACCGGCGGTCAGGCCTGAATACGTTACATATGAAGAGGTTCGATCGCAAAGACCCAGAAAGAATACACCTATTCTCAAACAAGACGACGCTAATGCTAGCGAGAAAGTCACTTACTTGGTACCCTTGGAGCCCAGTTTTGGCACCAGACAACCGTCACTTAAAAGTAATGAGTGATAGGTCCTCGTTGTCGTAAAAGAATGATAACATTTAGAGAAACCTGAACGTTACTATTAGTCTAAATCTATTTCTTTCGTAAATTCCTTTTTTTTAATCAAACGATACCATTTTCTTTCTCTTTTTCGTTTTAAACTTATATGATTAAGGGTGTCCGTGTAAACGTAGTCAAAAATAGCTACGTTAATTTTGTACGGAGAGCGTAAAATAAATTCTTTTATAAAGTTACAGATATACTATAGCAAACTTTAGGAAAATCTGTAGAGCACATATAAAAAAAATGAATATGATTTAAAAGAAATATTTTCTTGATGTATATGATAACAAACAGAATATAATTTATAATCAAAGATATTACAATAAACCCATTTTACGCGATCTATTATCTAGTAGACATTAAATGCGACGGTGCTGAGTCAAATGATTATTAATTTATACTTTTTTGTAAATAATAGAATTTTAATTAATAATAAAAATATTTTTAAAAACACGTAAACTATTTTAAAATTTTGCTTTATAGTACGAAGGTAATACTTCCTTTATTTTCTCTTCATTCATTTCTACATCTTTCTTTTTAAATTTTTATCAATACAAAACAAAATGTTACATATTACGGAAACGAGAAATATTTTTATATATCTATTTATAAATAAGAAATGTAAATAGAAAATACAAAAAAATGAACATGCAAGAACTTTGTATGAATTAATTTTAATTATTTTATCATAGTATCTTCCTAGCAAATAATATTATTAAAAGCAAACAGTTCATAACAAATAATAAAATTAATATTAAAGGCATTATTAATACTCATTGTTAAGTACTGTGTTTCTGTTTCTCAACATCTAAATGGTGATTTTTATTCCTAACTGCTGATAAAAAAAAATACAAGGTTACAAAAATTTCATTAGATTATAAGACGTTAAGTATTTTATTTAAAAAAAATAACTTTAAACAATTTAAACTTATTTTTTTGCTTTACGGAGTAAAATACATAAAAATCACTATTTAGATGTAGAGAAACAAAACCTTATAAATCAGTGTAGATTTAATATTAAAATTTTATTACTTAATTTTATTACTTAATTTAATATATCATTAAAAATTTTTTACTTCATCTAAAAATTTTATTATTTAATTTAATGTATCATTTAAAGTTGTACACAAAAGAAATTTTATACCATCACATTTATTTTCGTATATTCTAAAAAGTTTTTTTTCTTATAACTCGATAGTATATTTATATTACATCATATTTGCGTTATTATATAAGAAATTCAAAACGAATTTTTTATATAATTTTCTAAAAACTAAACAATGACAGAATTTTTTGAGAAACGTACCTTTTTCAGTAAAACATCCCACAAGAAACACATTACTTGTTGAGAAATAAAACGTTGATCAAAATTTATTCTATTGTGTTATGTCATTAACATAATCGCGTTTAAAAAATATTTATCATGAATAAAAGAAGAAACTAATAATCTGAAAAGAATATAAAAATGATTAAATGATTGTGCGTTTGTGTTAAGCGTGTAATATAAACGCATATGTCCTTCACCTTATTACATATATATAATGATACTATTACTACAATGATCATTATAGTGATTCGATAAACTCATTTTTATAAATGAGAGCAATCGATTAAATAATTATGAAAAAGTCCCATGTACAAAAAGTCCCGAATTCCTTAAATATCTTGAAAAGTCAGCATTTCTGAGAACAATGCATTTCATACAAAAGTTGTATATATAGGATTTAAAATGATTTATTTACTGATCTTATAAGTTTTATCTTGGGTGGCGCTACTAAGATCAGGCCAAAGTCAAATCGATTTTTTTTTAAATAAAACGCTCTATTTTTTTATTTCAGAATCTAATAGCTGATCAAGAAATTTTCAAAACACTATAATAAAGCCTCTTTTAATCAATACTTATCGAGTTATGAGACTTGAAAGTTATAATATCGCTGGTATTAACATTACCTAAGATATATCGCGTGGAAGTTGCCCGGTCGGATTTATAAATCTTGTGTATGAACGCACGCGTGTTTGTATGTGTCTCTATCTCCTCCTTTCTCTTTCTCTTTTCCTCCTCTCACATAGTTATCTTCGATTGTACAATATTTATTTAAAATACTAATGCTAACTGAACAGGAGCGTATATCTCTTTTAATAATGCGAGGATGAGGTGAGGTCTTACGTACAAATGACAGAACTAAATTCTGTAATCAGACCTTCACATCTAGACTTAGACAGCACAGAATATTTAGGTATTGATAGGTATTCATAAATATTTATTTTTTCAAAATATTATTAAAATACACATTAAATATTTTATATATTACACAATATTTACGATAAATATACTTGAATATCCAAGAGGGTTCCTTTTTCCTACAAATCAATCGCCTACAATATCGTTTGCCTACATACATTATTGCGCACAAAAACAAATATAAAAAACGAAATTACATTTGCCTACAATAATACATATAAGCAAATGTAACTTCGTTTCTAAAGTTTTTATTTGTGCGCAAAAGTGTTTGTATGCAATCGATCTGTAGACGATAATATTATGTGTGCAATGCAGATTGTGTGCAATAGTGTCGTATGTGCAAAAATGCCTTTTTCTCTTAATTTTATATTTGTGTGAAATAGTGCATGTTAGATAATCACAAATATGATGTAGGTAAATGATGCTGAAGACAATCGATTTGTAGGCAAATAAGGTTCTCCTTAAATATCAAATCAATTTTAATGAAAAAATGTGTTTAAATATTAAATATATTTAATAGGATTTAATTGAAAGCTATATGAATGCTACTTATATTATTATTTTGTATAAAATGCATAAATATAATGCGTACAACGTATACTATTAAAAGAAAAAAATATCTCTTTTATATGTAACAGTATCTTGCGTAAATAAAAATCGATATTTTTTTCTACAATAATTAAAAATTGTATTAAAAAAATAATAAATACTCTAATTTGCGTAATTTTTTGTATATATTTCAAAATGTATATCATTTTTCCTACGTCTTTCACCTTCAGTTTTTTATTAAAATCAAGGTTTGTTCGATCATTTTACTTTATATGTTGCACGTACGTAATATAATATAAACTATATATCAAATCCAAAACAATGATTTTATAAGCAAGTTAAAATTTTATATTCCAAATTCTAAAGACTGATTATATTGTGATCCGTGATAATATTAACAACTTCCTGAAACCTTCCTGCGTTACTTGGCAAGGACAACCACTGTGCTGCTATAGTTATTTATAAGACCGTAACATTGACCTCAATAATACGATAATGATTCCATTCTCTCATCTGCAGTTTTGATCATAAAATTTACTGCGATTTGCTGAAAGAATTTTGTTTGTAGAATAGAAAAAAATATATATATATAATTAAATCAAAATATTACAAAATGCATTTCTATACGCAAGAAGGATATAAAACAAAGTACAGGATTGTATAAAATTGTGTCAGCAACACATAAAATTAATTTTTAAATTGTCTTTTACTTTTTCATAACAACTCGTGCAAATATATTTGTAAAATATGTTAACTTTAATATATTTTACAATTTTTATATTTTTCTATATTTTAAAATATATAATTTAAAATATATTAATTACAAATAGTAATAAATACTCGTTGTACATTAGGTAGATACATTAGGATAGTTTAATATAAATTTATTAAATTAATTGATTAAAATTTGTATATAATCTCTTAATTAATACTATATAAAATATTTATTAGTATACATATATATTAACACTGATAAGTATAAAGAATACCATATGTATGATCTTTAAAAAATTCTATAAATTAAAATATATTAATTACATTAAAATTGTTACTTTTTTTTAGATATTTATGTTAAATATTTATTTTTAAAATAATTTCAAAGAAGGAGAGGATTGAACACTGAACTAATGACTCGTTCTCGATGTAATATAACGCTCGCAATTGAAAACGCACGAATTAACCAGAACTAAATCCGGTTTTGACTACATTATAGCGAAATGTGACACGCAAACCGGAACAGTCCCAGTATTGCAAATGCTATTCGCATCTGGAATTCGATTGTGAGAATGATAAAGCAAGCTTTCAATTTGATTTTATTCCCAATTTGAGATCAGACTCTTTCAAGCACATACAAGACATTTAATATTAAAATTGTACACATTACGTTTACTGGACACTTTTGGCAATTAATTAAGATGTAACGTTGATGTCCGATATGGCTATTGTATTCCTAAAATTGATAAAATGTACGACAGACATTGTGCACCTCGCAATATTTACATATATGATCAAAGTAAGCATTGGAAAGATCATCACCCTTGACTCAGTTAATGGAAAATTAACGATCTTGAACTGAAGGTAAACATGAAAGGAATCAACGAAGTCTCTGCATGGGCTAGTAAACGACCAATGGATGTTGAATTGTCGAATATGATTTTAACTCGTACCAAGAACACTGGTCAGACAACGCATATACATATATAAATCCTGTTCGCCGATCTTGTGCTCAGTTAAATACACGCGAGGTAAACGTCACTTCGTTGCAAAGTACTGCAAATCTTTATAGTTTCTGAAAGGTGAATTACAAGTGAACTATAGCATCTGAAAGGTAAATTATAAGTGAATTATAATACGAAATCTTGGTTGGTATTCATAAAGACTTGTATTTTTATAGCAATCATTTTGTTAATAGTATAAAAGAAATTTTGTTCAATATATAACTTTTAAAAAATATTTGTCTAAAATGGATTACGATTTTTATTAATAAATCAAAATTATGTCGCGACATAATTGCTATAAAAATACACTTTATGCTTTTGTAAGAAATTTTTTATTTATTGTATTTTTATATATTTGTTTAGCTTAATTTCATTTGTTTCTACGTTCTACGAATTGTTGGAATAGTAATGTATTTAGACATGTGCTACATACAAATATGTCTCAGCATAATTTTAATTCATTAAATAATTATGTTAGATATAATTAATTTAGTTAGAATATAATTAACGTTAGAAATATAATTAACTTTATTAATAAGAATCTTATAATTCTTTTGAAGACGATTATTTCTTAAAAGTTTTACATTACACAAAATTTTGGGTGAATTTCTGAAAATGACCTACGCTTAATTGTTATGAATTTTGGCAGAATTTTGTTGATGGAGTGGATTTCGCTTTGTGTGGAAAGTCATATGTCTTGAGCAGGGGGGGGGGGG